AGTGTATATTGACAGTATATCAGTGTAAGCATGCTCCTGAGCGCCACATTTCTGAATGAGTCGTTACCCACTTACTCATTGTCACTGACCGATTGTTAGGTTCTTGTATTAAATTGGAACAATTTTACATTGCGTTATGATATGGATGATACATAGCGTGGATCTGCTAATTGATGTGACAGGTGAAAACTTTGATCGTGTTGCGGAACCTGAAAATATTAACCTATTTCAAAGATATTTTGCACGTTTTATAACGAGGTCCAGTGACAACTTTTCCGCACTATTGGAAATTGCTATTGGAAATTTTGATTTTTTCACCCCACCCTACTGAACATTCTTTGGAGGGTATAAAATGTAGTGAAATATCAAAAGGTTGCAAAGTCAAGGGAGGTGATGCTAAGATTATACTGCTAAGATTGGCTGTCTGTGCACCAGTCTCCCCACGTTAAACAACGTCACACACAAGCGTCCTCCACAAAAGGGAATCCACCCTTACATCTAGGATCAAAGTCCTATGGTGATCAGCAAATGGTGACCGGGGCAGGTTTGTGTAATCTGGAAGCCCCTAGTCACAAGCTGGTACAATAGGTGGTGGGTGCCAGATACAGTCGCTGGGCTCTTGGACCAAGGCAAAAAAGTCCTTCGGCAACTGCACCCATGACTGAGCAGCCCTATTTAGGATCCACTCTGCTCACCCCACATGGGGAAGGGGCTAGAAAAGGTGCCCTAAAAATAGCTTGCCTTACACCACCCGACTGGATTACCACGTCCAGAGGGACACCATACCGCGGTCAGAAACAAAGAACAATCAACTTTGGAGCCTGGAATGTGCACACACTGATGGACTGAACCTCCAGTGATAGACTAAATTGTCACATACATAGTTATAACATGTAGTGAAATGCATCCTGAACCGCTCTTTTGTAGACTTTGCTACAAAGTGCAAAAAGCAAGCTAAAAATGCAAGCAGAGGAGTATGTTCAAAATGAACGGTAACCAGACATAAAAGTGACCAGTGTAGCAGTGCGGATTTGGTGAGGGGTACAAGAGCACAATGTACATCAGGGTGTGAGATGCAATGGCACGTCCAGGTTCAGAAACCTAATGGCCTGGGGGTAGAAACTCCTCCTAAGCCTCTCAGTCCTGGCCATGATGCTCCTGAGTCTCTTTCCTGATTTCAGAAATTGAAACAGGCTGTTGTTGGCAACAGGCCGGTAATCATTCAGGCATGAAGGCTTACTGTTCTTCGGTATGGGGACCATGGTGGACCTTTTAAAGCATGTGGGGACCACAGACTGCGCTAGGGAC